CGTTGGGTTCTTCTCCCTAGAGGCTGGTGGTTTTTCTTGAATTCGACGCTGCTGTGCATGGCTCCGCTCACCTAGCTGCGTCATCCATTCACAGATCCTTTGACAAGTCCCATCAGCCACCGCAGCTGAGAGTTCTCAATGGCATGCAAGAGCGGTGATATCATAGCACATGTAGTCCATTCATTCTTCCTCCACTGATAGCAGATGATATGCTTTACTGGCTCCAATGCATAAACATACTAAATGCTAATGTTTTTCTTTTATGAAGTGTACAACTTGCCCCCATCCACTATTCCAAAACCCCACTATTTTTTGTTTCCATTTTTTTTTTTTACCCTGACCTGCCCCCCACCTTCATTATCTAGGTGAGAATGACCCTGCTTCTACAACCTCCTGGGACATCCCTGTCACATGTCCCCACACACAGCAATTGGAGGGTGGACCTGATGGTGCATCATCAGAGAGCCAGCTGCTCATGGCTGAATAACAAAAAACAGTTGATTCCCCTGTCCAGGCTAAATAGCATAGATCCCCCCCACCAGGCAATTGTATTGTGACAGTGGCCAATGTGTCATTGTCAGAATGACCGAACAGTGGCTGCAGCTGATGAGCCAAAGTTACTGTTGACCAAGAATCTCCAGACTGGCTCCTTCTACAAAAGTCCATTGAATGGAGAGGTGCTGACTGGGTTACACACTGGTTGAATGTTGGCCGAGTCAGCAAGTCTTGGTTAAAATTCAACTAGTGAATGGGCAGCTTAACACAAATCTTTTATTTGAGATGTTTTCAGATAACGATCCAGAGCTGCATGCACCTGGGATTTGCAGTGTTGGGGGGGGGTCCCTTTAAATTCCAAATTAGAATGCATTATATTAGGAATATGAAAGAATAGTATGTTATAACCCGGCTTCTTTAACCTCCTAATAACAAGTTGAGGTTAACTGAGACTTTACAAATCATTTTCCTGCCATGCACTTCCTTATTACATTTTTTTTCCTATTCTTTAACCTTCCCTTCCCGGCCATCATGACCATTCTCCAGACCAGGATGATATTGGGCTTGTGGCTGCAGAGAGTTGGATGGGCTTTCTTGCATAGTTTGATCGTTCCTCTCCTTAGAGGAACTCCAAGACTGCACTGACCTCTAGAAATGAACACAACCTAATTATCTTCTGCTCTGCACAGAGCTGTGTTTTGCCATCTTCAAAGGGAACCATCTCCTTTCTTGTCTCTGTGTCCGCAGGACTCAGCTTTCTTTCCTTGGCTCATCAAAGACTTCACACATCCATCGTTCTTATAAACAATGCGTCGTCGTCCTTATTTTGTACGGTTTCCCATGTTTTCCAGCCAGGGACCCAAAACATTACGGCTAAGGAGGAACTCTGCCAAAAGACATTGGCGGGCATGTAAATAAGAACTGAATGACATTTATTGTAGTTTGCTAAAGCAATGTGTTGAGCCGAACCCAACCAGACATCCCAGTCTGACGAACGTTGCTAGGATGCTAACGGCTGGGCCGCACAGTGTTGCTAGGATGCAGACGGGCACATCATATTAAACAATGGTGCTGTGGGTCTGTCTGTGTCCTAGCAACCACTGACACTGTGAGACCTGCAGAGAGGCATTGGATGCTAGTGGCTGGACCACACAGTATCATTGGCTGCCAGGGCACAGGTGGGCACACCATAAAACTCAATTACACTGGTGTGCCAGCATCTTAGCAAGCAATGATACTGCGTGACTTACAGAGAGGCATTGGATAGGATGGTAGTGACAGGACCACACAGTGTCATTGGCAGCCAGGGCACAGGTGGGCACAACCTAACACCCAATTACACTGGTGTGCCAGCATCTTAGCAAGCAATGACACTGCGTAACCTACAGAGAGGCATTGGATGCTAGTGACAGGACCACACAGTGTCATTGGCTGCCAGGACCCAGGTGGGCACATCATAGCACTCAATTACACTGTATGCCAGCATCTTAGCAAGCAATGACATTGTGCAGCCCACAGCATCGTTGGTTGCTAGGACACGGGAAGTTTTGGCAGGCAGGCGAACTGGCCAAATTGTATTCCCATTCA